GTCCATAAATTTCAAATATTTGTTAAATATCACTTATTAAAATATGCATTAAAAGTAAAACAAACTATAGACTTTCCACCATTCTTTACCGTACTTTGAACCTATTTTTAAAAACATTTTCTGAAACTATTATCGTTCAAAGCTGTATTTTTTTGTGATAATAAGGTTGCCGTCACTTGTCATTGACAACGCGTTGAACTTGGACTTAAGGGCAGCGTCTCCTAGGAATTTCTGAACAAAATTATGTCAATTTAGATTCAATCAAGGAGCTGCTGTTACCTACCGACTAGAGATTGAATTAGTACAAATTATTACAGAAATCTTTAAGTAACTATAAATATCGACCGACTAGCTATTAGGGGATATTGTATTATAAACCGGTTTTTAGTAGACTGAGTTCGAAGGATCATAATAATAGTCCTGAACATAAAATCTATTTTTCAATAATTGCCGGGATTTTACCAAATAAAAAAAATTATTTCGTGATTGTGAAAACGGTCCAATCGTTTTATATGCCATTTATAATATTATAAAAATGTTAACTCTAGGACTCATTTTGGAGTATGAGCATACTTTATTTCAATACTTTTATTGTACTGTTTCATAAAGTATTACCTACCTATTACATTTTATTTTTATCGAAAATTGACTTTGTTTCCTGGACCAAAGTAAAGAATGTAGATGCAGATGGTAACAACAAAAACGATATCTTGCCTCACATTAAATATAAATATTTCCTAAAACAAATAATTTGGTTTATATACGGGAAGTAATAATACGAGGGATGTTTATAATTTCAAGTCACGAATACAGAGTCGTTTCAAAATATATTGCCACAATAATTGCGTCACATTGAGTCGGAGTGGGACGCTTGACGTGTCGCAATTCGCAATATATTTTAAAACTATTCTACCTAATTAATAAATTGTGATTTTGAAGTATCGAATGAAAACTATATTCTCATTGGTTAAAGATGGAAGTTTTTGTCATTTGAATGTTCAAGAATATTAATTGTGATTAATTGGTTAAATACCGAAGTTATCTGTTATCTGATGTTGGTACTAACCTAATGTTTTTGGGTAATTTTGACTGTCATTTCCTGGAATTTCCAGGCCCGCATAAATATTTATCCTATTAAAGTACAAAAACCCTACAATAGATATTATGAGTAGGTATTTAACATTCATTTATCTTATCTTATCTTAGGTAGTTATTTCCTAGAAACATGTCCTTGATTGTCAATAACACATTACCGTATATCTGTGCCAATATGACGTCACGACTTTTAATATACTTAATGAAGGCTGGGGGAAGGAGTTAAGAGTCTATAAATTTACAAACAAGCTTACGGGTATTTAGTTTTCAAAATTACATCACACGTTTCTGAAGTGTTTTATTGTGCTGTTTGTTTTTAATAAGTGTTAATTTCTTTAATAGAAAATTGATTTATTTGTGCCAAGTGTCCTAGTGAGTTTCATTGTACATTTTAATCAGTTTTATTTTTGGATAAATTGACATCGACTTCCTGCATTAAAGGTAGGTAGTATTTTTTTTCTATCACTCTCGAGTTCGTCATTGAATAAAAAAATTAAACGCTATAATTTTAACATTCAAATATTTGCAATTAAAAAATAATATTACGTATTAAATTTGACAATAAAAAAACTTGTTATTTAATAATAATGTTTCATTATTCTGAATATATTTTTTGTACGATCAATATCCAAAGTAGGTAGGCTTTTGTACATTAAAATCTAAATAAAAAGTTGACGTTTTCTGCGAATTGTCATAATTTGACATTATTGGCGCACATTACCTAATATTCAAACCCATTTCCATGCTTAAAAATAGAAGATGGTGACATTCATTTAAAAGAAAACCATAACTACTTTTACCAGGTGAAAAATTTCAATATGTTAAAATAATTCATGATTTTTAAGAAATGTGCTAGAAATGATACTACAATATTAATATTCTTTTTATGTTTGATTTTCTAATAATGATTTTATATACTTTTAGATTCAAGGACAGCTAGGTATAGCTCAAAGAAAATTGTGCTACTTTGTAGTATATACTGGAGATGAAAATCCAATATTTGTTGAAAAAATTCATATTCAACCCATTTTTTTTTAAAATATGGTTGAAAAATTAGAAAAATTTTACTCGGAATATATGGCACCTGAGATAATTTTAAATAGAAGAGGACGAGGATTAAAATGTCTGGATACCCCATATAATGAAACTTAAAGTGCAAAGATTAGCAAATTTATAAAAATAATAATTTAATGGACTTTAATGATACAAGTACTTGAAATAATGGTTTTTTTGCGCAGAAGCATGTTCATACGTAATTTGCAATTGATAATCACTAATCACAGATGGAAAAGTATATACGTCAACGATATGTTCTCTTATTTTTGATTTATTTTAACAGGTATAATATATGGTATGTTACTTATAGTATAGATTTTTTTATTTCTCGACCTAATTTATTTGTTACGTCTTCAGCAATTGTCGCTTTCAGTTGACATAAACGAAATTGATAAAAAGTGTTTTTCGCATTTTATTTTGACTCTTTCTCTTACTTTCGAATAGAAACTGAGCTTTGTAAACATAAAATGACGGATATGTCAAACTAAAACTGACGGTAAAATGAAACATTGAGTATCGTTAAATACAACTTTTGAACTAGTTTCAAAAATAGCATTAAAATGATATTATCATTCACAATGTACTAATTTCCTATACTTTTAGTTGATAAATAACCGATAATCATACATCATATAACAAATAGGCGCGTGTCAAAAGGTCACCGGCGAAAATAGAGTGCCGATGAAAAAAGGTCGTTTCCAATTGTATCATATAAACAGTATCAGAGGCAGTATTATCATCTCGTATATCCCCCGTAAACACACATAATATAAACGGAAATAATCAAATACTAGTCAAAATATTATCGATCGGAGCACCATCTTTATTACATTACATGAAGTAATTATTGATTTTTCGGGGTTGATTTAGAGTTAAATTAGACGCCATTTTTGGTCCAAATTCGTTTTGACATGTTTTTTCAAAGAAAGTGAGTGACTTATAAATTTCAAATCTACACGTTTTGAAAAATATACAATATTTAAATATTCTGAGTGTACCAAATTCCAAGTAAAGGTTGAACTTAGGTCGTATTACATTTTTTTTTAATTATTTGTTTGACATCGAGGTTAAAATAATTCTACACGGCACCTTTGAGATGAAATAAAAGGGGGTTATTTTACATGATTATTGAAAATAATAAATTTATTAATTTTCAATAGTAAGGTGACCTAAGTTAGACCTTTATTTTTAATTTGGCCAAAAATTAGATTTTTAAACACTACATATTCGGAAAACTGTCGATTTAACTTTTGGTCTACACATACACTTTTAGTACACAGGGATACCCCGTCCTTAAGTTAAACTCTTATAAACTATTAAGAAAAATGAAAATTATTAAGGTAAATTACTTATATTAGCCCTGTTTATACCTGCCAACCTGGTATTTTGTCCAGGAAAAAGATAGATAATTCTACGTTGGCGTTTTATTTACATCTTTTACTCTCAATTGGTATTACATCCCGTTATTATTGATAAAAATTCAATAAAACAATGTTTATTTTTATATTATATAAAATATATATTTAATTAGAAAAAAGGACGAAGAAGGTCGACTTGAGTCGGCAAATATTTGCCAACAAACTAAGTACCGATAAAGAAACGTTGACAGGATATATCTCGGGGTTAAGTGCGAAACATAGCCGGATTCGATCCTTCGGCGACAAACGGCTCATCCTGACAGGACATTTTGTTAGAGAACACGTTGTGATCGATTCCCGGCGTTCGGTTCTCGTGTCCGCATTATGTTCGAGTACGCCATATTTTTTCGCATATATTCGACACGTAAATGCACTTAGAGGGGCGGCCGTTGGGCCAGGAGAGAGACGGGCGGGGTGCGGACGGTCTAACACCCGAATAGAATGCACTTACGTGCACAAATTATCCTCATCCAGCACATCTGTATCGTTCTCGGAATGTAGTCTACGTAAGCCCGATACCATACTCTCTATATTCTAAAGCGCCATTTTTATTTTACTTTTACTCTCTCGGAATCGGTAAAAAATTGGATGGCAGAGAATTTTAACCGGGTTGGCCGCTGTCTGGAAAATCCGGAAAAGTTATGGAATGCTGAACGGTTGAATTTGGCAAAATTTTAAGTATTAAATGGATTTTTACGGCTATTAAACAATAAATAATACAGTGGTTAGAGCAAGTTGGATATGAGTAATACAACAAGAACTGCAAGTACCAATTTCTTAATAGTAGATATTTTCTATAATGCTCCCACCTCTAAATACAGGGTGTTCCTTAAATATTCGCATATTACGGAATACGATCTATAGAAACTATTACATTCGCCACCACTCTTCAATCTTCATCCTTTGGCTCAGTGGTAGAGTCTCTGCCTGCGGATCCAAGGGTCCCAGGTTCGAATCCCACCGTTGGCCGGGATTTTTTTTATTTAATTTAAATATTTAAAATTAATTCTGATGCCTTGGTAGGATTCCCCACTCGACCATTTACGGTTGGGTTCTAATTAACAGTGCTGTTCCTTAAGTGGCGCAAGGAAACAGTAACAAAACCCACACAGAACACGAGGCGAAATAACCTTAGAAGTTGAAGCCGATGACACACAAAAAATATATTATTTTTTGTGTAGTCTAGAATAAAATCCAAACACCACTTGAAATTCACACATTTCAATAATTGCATTTGTGAGCATTGCAATAGTTCTTAACCTAAAAATTTCTATCATAGTTACCATCAAATACCTGTAACATCAATATAATAGATGAAAGATATAGTTTTTTTCAAAATATATTTATACTATTCCTAACTTTTTTCTATTATCCCGCCACTGTCCAGATTGGCCATCATTGTATACATGTTTTAAATAAAATGTTACTGTACAATTTTTGAATATGTATATTTCAATAAAAATGTATAAAATAGTTCGCATCATGATCGTCTTCATACATTCGTTATTTTATTCAAAATATGAGGTAGTTCCTTATACTTGGTCTTAATCATACCTCATCTATTTCGAATTTTGAATTAACATTTTTCAATTGGTCGCCATTTTTACAATTCTCTCCAACCTAAAAACGCATATAAATTTATAATATTAATTTAAATATTAATATTACTAACAACAATTAATATTATTAATAATATTAATATTTATCATATTAATTATTATTTATTAATTAATATTATATTATTAATACTATTAACATTAATAATATTAATATAAAGTAGTTTCATAATGTTTTTTAATACCTCCACATTTACGTAGTCATTTTCCAATAATTCCTTTTTAGATAAAGCCTCTACAATGGCTGCTGCATAACAATCTCCTAACATGTTGTTTGTTGTACGAAAACGATCTCTAAATAAAAGAAAAAACACATATACTGTGTGTATTGATAAATTCCTCTGATATTGTATTTATAAGAGTAGGTCTGTGCAACAGATCTCCATCTATTTTTATTTTGTAAATTATCATTTTCTAGGACTACTACCCTTTCCGTTTTTAGATATCGAGGGATACAAGGCAGGACCTCGTATGTCGCAAAATCAACATTTTTCAGGATTCACACAAGTGCATATAACAATCCATTTTACTCTCTAAAAGAACTAAATATTTACCCATGTTTTGTTCTAAAATTGTAATACTTCCCCTATACAATAGATGAAGTGAAATGTATTAAATAAGATTATCATAAATCATAAAATTTAAATTTTCAGTGGAAATGTTAGTTACGAGCTCCTGCGTTGTGGCTCTCGATATACAGTCCCTTCCCCCATTTATTTTTTGAACCGTAATTAATAATTGAAAAATGAACCCATAAAAAATCTTTGAATAGTAAGGTCAAGTTGGTTAACTGGAACCTAATTTTACAACACTTAAATTTGCAACTATGTACGAGACGAACCTGCAAAGAAAATTTGTCAAGATTCTATGGGTATGTAATTTAGACCTTTGTAAATCAACTGCAATAAACGGCTTAAAAACAAAAATGTTTTTCTGAGCTTCAAGGGAATTTTTAATTTTTTTTTGTCAGTAGATTCCAGTTACCCAGGAATTTGAGGTAACTGAAACTAGGTAGTGTATGTATTTGTACAATGTAGAAAATGTTGATGTAACTGGAACGTTTCGTAAAGCATAACAAATACTCGTTTAAAATTTCATTAATTTATCTTAAAAAATAGCCGAGAAAATGAAGATGTTAAAAATCCTCTAAGTATTGAAGAAAAAACGCTTTATGCAAAATAAGTACTTAAACAACAAATAAAACAACTAAAGTGGTGTATGAACTTAATGATATTTTTTCATTTCAGGTACCATATATGATCCCCTATTATTATTTTATTGGGGCTCATGGATAACTTTTACTATGTCTATTTTGTCATATGCTAAGATATCGGGCTTTTCAGGTTAACGCCAAGCAAACCCCCCACTTTTTACCTTGTGAGATATGATGATTTCTGTGTCTTTTACTTCCAACACTTTTCCAGGATACATTTCCATATTGTACCTAACAAGCACAAAATCACCTTCCACGACAGCCACGACATTTTCTGCACCCTCATACGACATCAGTTCTATACAATCTTCTGAATCATCTTCACTACTTTCGGTCTCACTTTTACTGTTTGTTTCGTCAACTTTGTCATAGAATTATTATTTTTTTTTGTTTATTTGTTTTTTGGGAATATGAAATGCAATGAATGGTTTATGCAGTTTTCTTTAATTTATATTCTAATAATGGCATAATATCATGCCAATGTATTTACGTTACATTATATATTTAATTTTAATTCGTTATTATTTAGCCAATTCGGTCAAAGGGTCACTCTGTATGCCTTTAATTTTGTACTTATTGATCGCGAATTTAATCTTCTAAGTTTTTTTCCTTCTCGTCGAACAATACTCTGACCGCTACGAGTCAGTACCGATTCAATTGTCAGCACAATAATATTAAAAATTCAAACACGCGGTCCTCACGGACGTTTCAACGCACAAAAGAAAAACCAAATTAACGGGAGTGACGTGTTACCCGACTAATCATTCAAGGAACATTTCTGTTCCCGGCCGGGACTCATCAAGGAAAGGATTTTGGGAGTAGCAATCTTATTTTACAAGGTAAGACTTAGAAGTGAGCCGACAATCCATTTTTTCTCTCTCCTGAGCTGCTTTACACAAGCATTCACAGTACACTGTTCTTCGATTTATATTTTTTTTTATATTTATTTGGAGTTTTTCCTCTTTCGAAGGATCTATGTTTTGGATAGAGTTCACTTTTTGAGCTATTTTCTTACACTTTGTTTCTTCTCGGGCTTTCTTTTTCTCCTCTTCCAGTTTTTTATTTTCCTCTTCTAGTTTCTTTTTCTGTAAGTAGTCTGATGTTGTTATAATTTCTGCCCCTTTCTTCTCTTTTGTGGTGTCGGAGATTCCGATTTCTTTTTTTCATTCTTTAGTAGTTCAACCACCAGACTTTCAAAGGGATTCAGACAAATATTGCTTTGGGTGTTTGAAGGTCCAGGTTTGTCTTCAGGCATCAACTCCTTTTTACTTTGTTGCTCATTCACTATATTTGTTTGCTGTTCTTTGTTAACTAAATCTTCCATTTGATGAATTGTTCCATTTTCTTTAATTTCTTGCTCTCTCGTTACAATAATCACCTCGTTTTGTTTACCGTAGTGGTTATATTTTACAAGATTTTGCTGTGAAAATATTGTTTCAAGAACTTTTGTTCGATCTGGTTTACCTGTATCTAAATTATAGATAGCTGTTACTTGAAACCCATTTATAATGTTCTGTTTAGGCATTTCCAAAAATTTCTTGTCAAGAAGATGCGTAAATTCAGTTTTAGGAATTTTTCTTCTTGGGTTGAGCCTTTGCCATTTACTAAGATTTTTATCCCATGTCGCTTTCATGCTCTTAAATACACCAACATCGAGTGGCTGAAGCAGATGGGTTGTATGTGGTGGTAATTTTAAAATACATATATCATTATCAAGGGCTTCTTGGATCACATTACACGAAATATGAGTTGTATGTCCATCTACAATTAAAAGGATCGGACGTTCCTTTGGTACGTGAGGTAAAAAACATTTTCTAAACCAATTTGCAAATATTGTGATCGTCACCCATCCCTTATCCGAAGCGGCTATATCAATTCTATCTAGTGGTTCAGGTTTGTCAGGTAACATTGACTCGTTAACATTTTTTCCCTTGAAAATAGTTAACAAAGGCAATTTCTAGCCTGATGCTGAACAACGTACTAACACTGTGGTATTTTCTCTGCCGCTTGTAGTTATAGTCCTTGTAGGTTTTTTACCCACTGCCCGAACTTTTGTTTTTGAAGGGTCACTGGAGAAGGATGTTTCGTCGCAGTTGAATATTTACTCCTTGAGCTTTTTTGAGAGATAGATAGTCCAACGTCTCTTGGCGTGAAAGCCAATATCCCCACTTTTGCATTGTATTTAATATAGAAACTAGTTGCTCTTCCGCTTCTTTAGTTAAAGCATTTTTTCCTCCTCCTCCGTGTCCTTCTTTGGCCAAAATACCAGTTCCTCTTGTACCTTTAATATAATGTCGTAAGGTTAGCTTGGGAATGTTATAAAATTTTGCTTCGGCGTACATGGATTTATTACTAATTTTAACGTCTTCGGCAGCATGAATAAGAGCTTCTCGGGAATATCGTTCATCATCTGCCCCTTTTTGGGTACGACACTGGTAATTACGCACCATTATGTCCTGAAAATTTTAGTACTGTCACTTTTATGCACGTTTAATATTTGCAGTAGGATAAAAAAGAAGATAAACGTTAAAATATCAGACTAACAGTTACAATACAACTGTATTGGGTAACTGAAACCTACAGACCCAGTTACCCGAAACTTAAGTTCCAGTTGCCTCATCATATCGAATTTATCAAAGCAACTGGAACCTATACAGTCAAACTTGTTTTCATTAATATAACCTTAAAATGTTAAACACTATAGATGTTTTTTTTTATACCAGGCCGATTTTCATGTTAAACAATGTATTATTGTGCTTACTGCGATTTGTTTAATACGTCAGTGCCCAATGTTGTTATTCTTCTACCAAAAAAATACTTTAACATGAATATTTTCGTTACGATACTCACAGCAAGAACTTAAAAACTAGATGTAACGGAAGCTTTGGGATGATAGCTGTCATGTTTCAAAGCGCGGAAAGTTTAAAATATTACAAAATTAGAAGTATAGGGCCCAGTTACCTCTAGGTTCCAGTTAACCAACTTGACCTTACAGTGCCAAAGGTGAAAAATTTGTAGTACGCCAGTTGATAACACTAAAAATTTAAAGCAAAGGATTCGTTATGAGTAAAAAATAAAAAGATATTTTATTTATATTGATGTCATTGGAAAGGGTTTGGAACAAGCTTTCAAATGATGTATCACTTGCCATAAGATCCTATTTAAAATTATCTTCCAAAACGGCTCCTGTCCTGTCATTAAAAAGGTAGTATACATTCCTTAGTTCAGTTTCCCAATATTTCACGTTTCTAACTTGTACGGTTCAAAAAATAAATGGGGGAAGAGACTTTAGACCGGTATATGCTTATTAAAAATGTAAAAGGACACCGAATCACTGTTATTGTGATGTTTAGGTTACAACATCGTTCGCTGGAATACTTCTGACAAAGTTTATGCATGAAAGACTATTTAATGGCATTTACTTTATTTTAGCTTAAGATTTAAGAGTAGTACTACTTAATAAGCATCAGGAATTGTACACTGTCACGTAAAATTTACAGCATTTGTAAAAGTAACGTCTTCAAATAGCATTTGCGTGGCACTCCTAATAGTATCTAATAAAACGACTTACACGAGCCAATCCACCGCAAACAACAAAGGCACGTTGGTAGTAGGTATTCCCATTGCTGACAGTACCATGACCAGGATAATTAAGGCTGAACTGGGTACGCTTGTCACTGCAAAAGACATTATTGTCGCAGTAAACCTAAAATGTATTCGTATCAATCGAAATTCCGGAAAAATATTGTTCGACAGACTAAAAATTACCAAATAGTCAACAAATTTCCCATTCCCAACGAAAATCCGCTCATCTGCGTAATGAAAATAATAGAAATCGCTAAAAACATGGCGGTACCATCCAAATTGGTATTGCAACCGATGGGCATGACGAATCTAGTTATCCTCGGATCTATTTTAAGTTCGTTATCCATGATGTCCATGTTTACTGGGAGGGCAGCTGCTGTGGATGCAGCAGCGAAAGCTGTAAGGGTACCTAAAAAAATGTGTTTAAAAGAATGTAACCTGATCAATATAATTCAAAAAAAGTAACAAAAAAGAATGGTAGAAATGGTTTCAGGAAGAGAACGGATCATAATCCAACGCCTGAAAGGCAGAAGAGCTTTACCTTGAATTACTCCCAAATAATACTTAAAAGGATTCTTCCTCACAACCAAAAAATACACCAATTGTAACACTACAAACTGGTAGAATAAAACGCCCAATATGACTGTCAAAATTAACCATCCCAATTGGGACATCACCACAGCAATATCGGCTACTATCATTATTTTTCCAGCTATGATACTGCACAATCCCAAAGGAGTGATCCAGAGGATTCCTTTTACCATTTTCATTATAATTTCGAAAATTACCGCGAAGAAATCTTTGATTAATTTTCCTTTGGTACCCATCGTACCGAGTATGGTACCGAAAGCGATACAAAAGAATACTATGCCCAGGTTGTTCGTACCCAATCTAAAATCAAAATGTTATTAATAGAGGACTTCTATACAAGAGAAGTGCAACCAACTTGACAAAATAAAATTGACACTAATGACATAAGAAATTGGGTCACATAAAGAGGCTGTTTTTCTTTTAAATTTTTGGTTTTTCTTATCTACTTTTGTGCCATTTACATACCATATTGAACCGTAACGTAATAAAGACTTTTTATTTTAGGGTATTTTACATTTAGAGGTTGAAGACATTTGTCAATATCAGCTACCGATACTGTCAAAACCTAAGCGTAGGCATTGTGATTTATTTTTTTATTCTTAATAGTCTATTTGTGTTTCTCCCGGTTTCTTTAAACATTTTTTCATTTGGTTTTATATATTTATGTCAAATGCAAAAATGATGCTGCTACAAAATCAAGTTCCATATACTATACAACCATATACAACACTAGTTAGGTTATGCCCATCTATGGTTACGCCTGTGTTCTATCATCACCATAATTGACAGCTGACACTGACAAATTTTTTCAACCTTTAAATGTAAAATACCCTACACTAAAAAGTCTTTTTTACCTTATGGGTACAACATGGTATGTAAATGGCATAAAAGTAGATAAGAAAAACCAAAAAGTAAACTAAAAAACAGTCTCTTTATGTGACCCGATTTCTTATGTCATTAGTGTCAATTTTATTTTGTTAAGTTGGTTGCACTTCCCTTGTATAGAAATCCTCTATTAGTCATAAATTTAATTTTTTAACTTTGGTTATGTGCCTACCGATATTTAAGCACTTTCTCGATCTTACTAACAGCATGGCTTGTTCCATTAATTTCATTTAATATTTTCGTTGTATTTACATAATCTGTATACACCTAAAATATACAATATTACTTCCAACCAAAGTTCTTCCGAGTGTAATTAAAAAGAAATATATTTAATACGCACCTGTTGAAACGTCGCTTGAAAAATATTATCAGCTGCGATATTTCTGAAAACATAATTTGCTCATTAGAATTCAAAAAACGTTAATCGTATTTTGTATGAAAAGATTTCTAGCTACTTTTGTACCTCTGAGAGTACAGAATATCTATCAGAATGTGAATTTGAATTGCAAATAAAAAAGAAAATAGTTTTAAGACGTTAAATAAAATAGCTAGGAAAACAACTACTTCGTTGGCCGAAACATGCGATACTGGCTTTGAGATATATTTCTATTTTATTTTTAATTTATAAATGTTACATTTCGTACACCGTACCTTCCCATATCTAACATGCTATCCAACACAGAGCCAGACACCCTTTCCTGTCTGTTGTGACTGGTTGATAATCCCAATCCTGGATCTCCTGGCTGGAATGTAACTCCCAAAATTACACCCAGTAAACCGTTGAACATGGACGTCACTAAAAAGTACGAGAAAGTTCTTAGGGCTATTTTTCCGTTTAATCTAGCATTAACGCTGGAACACCCTGTGATTAAGCTCGACATTATCAGCGGTAAGATTACCAGTTTGAGGATTCTCATGTATAATTCTCCTGGATATGAGATTAGTAGGATGGTTGTTTCTTGTAATCGTAAAGGACGTAAAGAGAAGCCTGAAAAAAATATTGTTGATGATAATATTATATTATTGATATTATTAATATTAATTATTAATATTAATAATATTGACATTATTGTTATTAATAATATTATTTTTAATTAATCTGACGAATTTTTTGCACTGGCTATGAATTTATTAAGATATTTTGAATATGTTGAATTTAAATACGCTTTTAAACAAATAAATAGTATTACTTACCCAAGATGATCCCGAATAGAACACCCATCAGGGTCAGTATTAACAGCAAATTTTTTCCTACCCATTTTTCAAATCCAAATTTGTTTGCGTGTTGATCGGTTGTTTTTTCAACATCATCTGTATTGTTGTCTGTCATCTCATCAACGATGAAATTGATACTAAAAGAATTATTCAATTATTATCCCCTGTATGACCTCAATTGGATAATGCTACAAATGTCTAGTGATTGATAATCATGGTCGGTGTTTAGATACAATTTTTTTTTATTTAGTATACAGTGGTACTCAATACTATTTTTAAAAATTCAATAAAATATTTTTTAAATTAGCTTCTTTCTCTAGCGACAGGGGGAGCCTAAATGACAAACCAATGAACGAATTTTGTTAAAAATTGGTAAACATACTAAACAGGTTAGCTATGATTTTTCTATATTCAGTTTAATTACTGAAACTTAAAGAATTATTTAAAGCAGGCTGTGTTAAATTACACGTATCCATTATCGTTGGCAACCCTGTCTAAATCAGTTATTTTTGTTATTGATTGTCGTCTGTCAATGACAATGTCATATCAATATTTTGACTTGTAACTTCCAAGAAAATGTGCACGCTCTAACCAGAGCCCTTTTTTGCCTTTTGTATTTTCTATTTTTTTGTTTCATAGTTACTAAATTCGTTCACCAAAACTATTTCCACATTATTTCTAATAGGCTGAAGGTGACAGCGATGTATGGATTTGAAACGTTGATTACCAATACCACAATTTGGAGTACATAAAATGATTACTCTGACGAACAAATTAAAGTTGATCAAAATTTTGAATTGTCAAAATATTTTAGATAGAAATATCATAACTTGTTTACTATTCTTACCAATTTTTACCAAAATTCGTTCATCAGTTTGTTAAATACAGATAGTGTCCCCACGTTGCTGGACTAAATAACTAATTTTGATTTTCATTTGTTGCAGGTAAGTTAAAAATTCAATCTTTACTACACATTCGATTTTTAAGGTAAGCTTTTCTAAAATTTAAACATATTGGTCAGTGGCGACTCGTTGTAATTTAAAATGGGTGTTCAATTTTTTCCTATAATTTTAGCATTTGTAAGTTTGTACAAGTGCCAATATCCAGCAAATCTTCGTAGGCATCGTCCGCTTTATTACAATTCCGATTTTTTGTAACGGTTCCTTAGTCATGAATAGATTGCAGGATAACATCACTTAGATGATCAATTACCAGAAATATTAATATTAATATTTTGATAATCGTCCTAACGTTTTTAGCAAATATTTTTAGCAACACAATTATTTAAATAGGAAGTTTTATTTGAGTAATTAGAATTTTATTAATTTATAGAAATCTACTAAAATCTACCAAAACATTGTCTACTAAAACTAGCAAAGAAAGCCGAAAATTTACCAAAAAGTAGACATCTACTAAATGTGGCAAGGTTGGATCAAATGCCCCCAGTCCTGACCAAGTGAAGTTAACTATCGCCTCGTAATCTGCATGCGATGCACAAAATGGTGTTAAAAATGGTGTGATTTCAAACGGGCACACTGTTTGTTTCACGGATTTGTTGACCTCTCTTTCTAACTACAGGCATTTTCGGAAACCTTTCGCGTTCAATCAGAATATTGCATCGACAGACGTTACCAGCCAGAGGGAAGTGGCGTACCCTAAAAATTAAGATTAACACGTACGAAAATAATAAAAAAATTAAAATTGAATTTATATTTTTATGCATTTTATGTGATTTTAAAATAATGTGTTTTTATGAAATTTTACTGGGTGTTCACTGCACAAATGAACCAATGGACTTAACCTAATAGTGAAAAAACAGTATAGTACGAAAATGGCTTAAATATTAAGTGTAATTAATTTATTGAACCCTAAGGGATATTATTAGTTTTAAAAATTCAAAACCATAGTCAATTAAGTTAGAATAAAATTTACCAATTGATCAATTCTAATGATCTGATTGGATTGAGTAAAAGATCCTTCAAATGGTATTTTGTTAATAATATATTAAAAAAGAAATACAGAAATTTTCTTATAGCAATAGGCAAGTGCCTACCACCATTCCTTCAACTTCAGTTTAAGTAAATTCCGAAAGAGCAACGGTGCCCTCTGTCGGTCGTTAATAAAGACGAACGATTGTCGAACGCGACTTGACCGCAGCTTCCGCCGCTTTGCCTTGTGATCAGCGCAAATTGACCCATTATTGGCGATCAATGATCCGATAATAATCGTTCCGATTCATCGTCATCGCAACATTGCGAATATCGCGATCATCGCCAAATGCCCCTTGTGCCATCGCGTAAGCGATAGAGGCGTCCGATCCGACCCCGGCCATCCAACAATTAACTTCATTAACCCACCAGCGTTTGGCGGCGGCAATCAAATGGACCACGAAGAGGATTCAATAAACTTTAACCTTTATTAGACGGACATATTGGCGTGTCTATTTCAACTTTACGAAATAACAGATAGCAATAAAAAAATACATAGTCCATTTTACATTGTTATGAAGTTAGTAAAGAATTCTCTAATTAAAGAATTCTTATTAAATGGGTAATATACTATTTTTATCGCTTGCCAGCCCCTTGCGATTAATCACTTCGTATTTGTACCACGTCGGTATAAGAACGTGCAAATTTGTGGTGTGATTTTATTAAAATTTGGAAAAAAAACTTTATTATACGGACATATTGGCGCGTCTCTTTCAGGTTACACGACAGCTCCCACCACCAGGACATAGTACATGTTGTTCACTCCCCTCCCATGTACCTAACTACAAATAGCAAGCAAAAAACACGACGAGCCACGTTTTGCAGTCAGATGAAGGACTAAAAACGTCCTTGAAACAAGCAGTGTGCCACTTGAAACCACGTTATTTATTTATATTACAATATTCTCGGACAACTTCAATTACAGGATAAGAACAAACAGCAAAATACAAAAAGAAAAAAAATAATACAAAGTAGTATATCTCTCAAGCTTTACATAAATGCTCACTGGAAAAAACCTTTTAGAAAAAAAAAAGTAAGCACTCATATATAGCTATGATCTAAGATTACACATATATTACATAGGTACATATGAAATTATGGACCAAATTCTGGACGTCCGTCCTTTCTACAAATTATCCCGAAGAATGTTTTTTTTTTTTATTTGTGATGGCAATATCAACACTTGACTAAATCAAAGAGTAGTCAATGATGAGCTGATGCAAAGGTGAAAATTTGTAAATATTTGTCTTATGTGGTAATTCATAAAAAAGACTGTTCAAGAAATTGGTCTGGGAACTCTGAAATTTAGTGACGATACAATAAATATTATCACATTTAAAAATATAATTAACAATTTTATATAAAAACATAACTGAATGCATTGACCGACGACGAATTAAAGAACAGCTATCAAAGTATTAGTATTAGATTTTTTTGTTAGATTTTAGTAGATTTCTGTAAATTAATAAAAAAAATCCAATTACTCAAATAAAACTTCTTATTTAAATAATTGTGAAAATTTTAGATCGCAATTCGAAATCTGAAGTCGAATTATCTGAAATAAGTTGTAAGTAATTTGAAAATTCGGAAACAAATCTCAAAAATCCCCCTACGAATTATCAAGACCATCCGCGAACCTCAAAGGTGAAAACATATACTTAGAGATTTGAAAAAGCCTGTCGCCGATTCGAACCCAGACATCTCTTTTCTGTACCCAAACGCCCAAATGACCATGATGACATAGACAACAATTTGATGTGCTAATTCGGGCCAGACACCGTTTGAAGCTCCTCAAATCTTCATATATTAAGGTTATAAGTAGAGCCGGAGGTTTATAATCGATTCTATCCAATTAATCGATTATTTTCGATTGATCGATGATTTTTGATTAATCAATTATTTTTTTAATAGATTATTTTCTATTAGTCGATTACTTTCAATAATCAATTATTTTTTATTTATCGACTATTTTTGATTAATCGATTAATTATGATTAATCGATTATTTATCGATCAGTACAGCAAGTTAGTTAATAGTTTTAGTGTTAGAGAACAGAGTATGATATTGATAATAAAAATTACACTTAATACAAATCCAAATTAACAAACCGATTTAAAAAAGTTTATCAAATTATATTTAAAATTTTACACCATAATTTTGTTATTTTAAAAGCAAGCTAATGTGATTGGTTGTTTCGTTTATAAATTACTTCTCAAAATAAAATAAAAATAAATAAAAGCTTAAATTTTAGCATGATTTTTAACGCATTTTTTATTATTTTTTCCTTTAAAATTGAATAACTGGTCATTACAAATAGAATATAATAATTATAACTTTTTAAAATAAGAAATATCTAATTTATCTAAAAAAATCGATTAATTAAAAAAAAAGTATTTTGTTCGCGGTTCACAGTGCGTATTTGAATTTACTTGATAGGATTGCTTCTACTTATAGTGTGTCAGAAATAACAGAAGATGTAACTTCAAACAAATATCGTGCTGTCGTAAATAAGACATATTCTAAGGGACACAGGAGGGTATAATATCAGCTGTTGTCAAATGCCTGTTTCATTATTTTAATTTTGTTTACAAAATTATTTACATATCTTAAAAATGCGAAAATAATTCAACATATTTTATTGCAACTGAATCCAAAAATTTTTGAATCATTAGTTATATCAAATTTAACTAAATTAGATGCAATAAATTGAAAAATTTAGTTAATATTAAATTGGATATCAAGTATTTTGTACTAGATGTGGCAACATGGCTTGGCATTTTGTACGTTGTTTATTATGGGTGTACAACGGCTTACACATAAATATATTATATTCAGTGTTTTGTACCGCCGTCAAATCCTTCAGTTTATCCCTTCCGATACCTCACACCACATATCCCTTTACGCCTGATCTACAACTGGACCGTATCGACGCAGGTATCAATATCAGCGTCTCGTGTTATCCGTGAGGTATGTAGTGTAAATAAAGACATGAACAGTTCTGCCGGGCGAATGGGAACAAAACCCTTTATTTTCATCTTTTGCTTTGCAAAACCCAGAAAAGGTATATAGGCTATTGTATAGTCAGATGATGAAAAAAAAATTAATCAAAAATTGCCTTAATAAAAGAGTATAATATTTTTGCGAAGCATATTTCAGGTAACTGGCAACTCTAAAGATTTGTCCTCTCTAAAAACTGTAATCAAAACAACAGGAAAAACTTTAGCTTTTTTAGATTGACAAGTTCTTTGAAAATGTTAAGAGTTTCAGCTGAATTAAAAACGGTAGAAACTAAAATAGTTTTTGCTCTTGTAGAGCATAATATAATATTTCTGGTAATTGAGCATCTAAGTGGTGTTATCAAGCAATATTTTCGTGACTCAGGAATCGAAAAAAAAATCGGAAATTATTCTTATTAAAAAAGACGATATCAAAGAAGGTTTAAGGGATATTGGCACTTGTACAAAGTTTTGAAATGAACTTACAAATGCAAAATTATAGGAAAAAATTGAACACCCATTTTAAATTACTACAAGTCGCGACTGCCTCAGTCTAAATGATGCCTTAATTAGATGCGATATTTTTACAATTGCTTTCTTTGGAAGTTATTTCAAAATTTCATCGGTAATTAAATCAAAACCAGGAGCTTCTTTTCTATGAATGATGTTTTTATTTAATTAGAAACTGCCTTTGGAAAAGTGGATTTAATGATATTTTTTGTAATTGGTTCAATCCAGTCATAATGTTCTACTTTATCATTTCTCTAGTAATTGAATATTACATACTTTTGTTATTAGTTAGTCACACAGATAATTACCAATTAACTTTTCGTTTTAATCGTTGAGCTGCATTGTTTAACGCTATTTTATTGGTTTGTTATCATTTCCTTTTTAATATCCTTTCTTCTTCTGTAGATGCAATAGAAAACCCTATTTAAAAAGAAAGTGAACCTAATAATTGTATAACTACAACGAAACTGTTATAGAAATGACAAATAAATGACATCCCAATTAAGCGCCATAAATTCCACGTTCGAATTACAACAATAACAACAACAACTTCATTAGTAGTTGATATCGATATCTATAGCGTTCTATTATATTATAGCGCATTCATGGACAAACGCTAAACATTAACAGCAACAGAATCCGTAGTTCGGTTCATTAGCGACCAACCTATATAACAGAAACGGCTGGTAAATGCCACTTTGTCCTGCCATGATTTATGCGGCCATGTGCATTGCAATTATACACCGTTCGAAGATTTAATAAACTGAGAAATCGACTAGAGATTTATAGTGACAAAACAAAACAAAAAAATATAGGAATGCGTTTTAGCTGTTTTACGCCGAGGTATTTGAGTAGTTTTTTTTTTCGGTTGGCTTAACGTAAGGCGCCAATTTCGGAGATCTATTTTATTTTTTGTTGGAAGAAAATTTGAGAATGGAGAAAACAGATCTTATTTGTGTGTATTGATTATTTCACTCTTCGTAAAAACAATTTGGAACTAGTCTTTGTCTCTTGCTGTACCTATAGAGATAAAGGAAAGTACTTTTGTAAAAAAGTATATGTAATTGGTATATTAGACACGGCTGCTTAGAAGGGTTCCATAAAGCTATATTCATTGTGAAATCCTCTATAGTGCGAGACACACTGAGAATGCAGTGTGAAGTCTTATGAAGCGCGTCGTTGCCAGCCGTCGCTATGTTGGGATCGGCCAAAGAAAAAAACAGGTCCGGTCTCAGTCAAATTTCGACAGGGGTTTAAATTTTATCTCAAAATTTGTATGTTCAATAATAAATAAACAATGAATTTTAAAATTACAAATTTATAATAAACAAATTTTACGCAATCGACGAGGTCTGAAATCTCACTCTCAGAACTGTCGCCAAAATGTACTCTTATAATGTTGTCTTGGTGATTAACAGCGACCCACATTTCTTTTTCCGTTTTTCTCTGATATATGCAACCCAATTAAGCCAATTTTGTTCAGTGGCATGTTCAAATGCTTCATCTATCAATGAACGAACATCCTGTGTCTTAAAATCAAAGTTGTTTATAGGAATATAGAGTTTTACCTGATTTCATACCATCTCGATCGGGTTAAGCTCGCAATGATACGGTGGTAGGTGTAAAACAGTTACCCCGTATTGTGCAACTATTTCCTCAATATTATATTTGTCTTATTACTCTCCGTATGCGTTGGGAACTTCAAGCAGCTCAAATTTTAAATAACAGTCAAAGAAAATGTTTATTTCAAAATGCCAATTTTTTATTTCGGGTTTGTTCCATGATATTGCGGGAATGATACGAAGCGTTATCCATAACAACAACGTTCTTTCGTCCATTTTTGGGCAAGTTAGGAATCAGCGACTCCTCAAACCATTGCTCCAAATAGTCGGCGTTTATTTCGTCATGATAATTGCCAATTTTTTTTTCTTTGCCAAGAAAACGCGCGGCGCCAGGTAAAAATCCACCCTCATATCCTGCATGAACAATAACGGAACGTGGACCACTTTGTATAGGTGTTTTGAGGCCTGTGATTAAACCAGATATAACAGGAGATGTAACTACTATCAAATATCGTGCGGTCCTGAATAAGACATATTCTAAGGGACACAGGAGGGTATAATATCCGCTGTTGTCATATGCCTATTTCATTATTTACATATATTAAAAAAGTTAAACTAATTCAACCTAGTTTATTGCAACTGAACCCAAACAAATTTGACACATTAGTTATATCATATTTAACTAAATTAGATGTAATTTCACTAAATTAAATGTTAAGCCCGCTACGGATGATAAGCTATAATATAATATATATTATAGCTCACATATTATAAAAATATCGCATTGCATTAAAAAGTGCAAGTCGCCGCGCATTGATGCTATAATATATATCTATATCCCGGCGATGCCGGGCGATATATTTAATGTTGGACGAAATATGCTTTCCGAGCGATTTTTAGGATATATAATTCCCCCCTCTTGTGTCGCGCTGCCCATCAAGAAAGCAAAACGGCGTTGTTTACATGTTTGTTTTGAACGTGATTTGATAAATAAATTTTGTAGGTTTGTAAAATTAGTTGCAATTTCTACACATATTTATAATATTTATGTTTTAATATATTTTTTTTAAACTCTAGTTTTTTGGTAAAAGTCACTTTCCTATAACTAAGAATAATCTATCTATATACATACCTTAAAGTAACTACCAGTCGCTCTAAGGAACTAATGCTTTTCCGCGTATTTGTATTTTGCTTTTCTATTTAATTTTTTTTTTAAATCATGAAATTCATAAAAATTAGTTCAGTCTATTCGAAAATAATTTGTAAATTTTTCGTCACTTAATTCGTTAAAAAGTGTAAATTCTCCTCGTTCTTTTCGGTATTTGATGTGATTTGATAACCATAATCTTATTGTTTCTTTTTGGTTACTTACCCTAATTGCTAATAATAATACATTGTCGCTTTCAGCATCTGATTTATCTTCTGATGAGCTATCAATGGTATCTAGCAATAACAAATTTTTCTTCATCGCCATTTTTGCAACTACACTATATAGGTCACTGGATCAGCCTATTATATTGAAAAGTAAAAAATATATATTCTCGTCCACTGCAGTAATAATATAATATTATAGCTCATTGCCGAGCTATAATATATATTATATTATCGCTTATTGTCCGTAGCCGGCCTAATAATTTTCAATAAATTCCAAAACCTAGTAATGGTAAATTGGAAGTGGCAACTAAGCCCTGTTACTACTTCTGGCATGGATATCTACGTTGTTTATTATAAGCGCACATCGCTTACACATTTATTCACTGTAAAATAAAGCTGTATCTGCGTAAAATCCTTCTCTTTATCCCCTCTCTTACTTCTCACCTTTCGTCTTCTCACCGCGGAGCTGTAAATACAGTGTTATGATTGTTGATTTAATCTTGGCATCGTGAATATTATATTTTATCAATGAATGACTATATCTCTGTTATCTCTGGGTTAAACCCTTTATAAAATCATCTCTACGATGTGCTATCACACCATGCATAGTTAACCGTTTGTCCCACGTTGACCCAAGTGTCATCTAGATAGATAACGTTACAATTTAGTTGTCGATATTGTTTGGTGGCTCTTAAATTCCTGTGCCGATGAATAATAATGTCGTTTTGTTTTAACATTAAACTTTTACGACCATGCTTCACATGTTCAAAACGAATATCTTTTATCAATCTACATAGGGTTCTTAAAGAGAACGATAGTGAATTCTTATTCCCTCGAATAATATTGTAAATTGCATTCAAAGTTGGCGGAATGTTTTTTCATAATAAATATCACAATTTTTGCTATTGCATGGAGCATTTGTCTGCATTTGAATTTCTTAAACTCCTTGTTGCAGTTAAGAAATCACATCTGAATTAATCCCAAATAAAAGTTATTGAGTATTTAAATGTCAAAATTTTGACAATTATAAAAAAATTCATGGGCTTTAATAAATACGCGTATACTATATCTGCGCGTATACAATATAAATTCTTAGGCTAGCGTCACATTAGTCAGAAGTTCAGCCGCTGAAAACGAACCGCAATCTTTGCTCAGTAAATTCAAATGCTAGGCGTTTCAATCGATCTCCAGCTTAATGTAGCGAGTTAACGAATTGCTCCTAAGAAATTACAGCATTTATCTGCAGCAGGCGTTTTGTCAACTCAAGTATTGTAACTAGTAACTAGAGATCATTGCTTCATTAATCTTTGGAATATACCTTACTTACTGCTTTAAAAATTTTTTAATACTATCCTTCTGAGAATATAGTATGACCTAATTTTTTTCCAGTGTACATAATCCAACAAGTAAAAATAAAATATAAAGCCTCAATCTTAAAATAAACAGTATCAACGATTAATAAACGGAATTTTCCGTCCGTTGCTTTTTTTTTTCGACTAACGATGAAATTATCGAGAAAAGAAAAAAAACAGAAATTGCCGCCTCGTGGTAGACGCCATTAGCACATTTATTATTAATTAATAATAAGTTGGGTGGCGAAGAAGAGCAGGTGAGGACGCACACGTGTGACCCGCATACCTATATAGGTATATTAAAAGTTGTATTTTTTAAGTACTTACACTTTTGACCGCAATCAACGGGCGCTGTGGGAAAAGCGGACCGGTCTTCGTACCTATAGGTACTATCATAATCATTATTGTCGTTATTGTTTCAGTCTTTGACTGCAATTAGGAGCTAAATTGCAAACACCATTAACTCTATATATGATGATTTTCTTTATACCTATACTGGCTTTTATCTGCATTCGGAATGTTAATGGTTGAATGGGGTATTGATATGACCAAAACCATTTTCGCTTCTTTTTCCATTCGTATTTCAACAGAAATTATTAGTACAGTATCAAGGGTTTAAGTCTAACGAAATTTATGCTAGTTTTGGGTTACCCCAAGGAACCGCCCTTGACCCATTGTTATTTATCATATTTATAAATGATATCTGTCTTGATTTGAAATGCAGCGTGCTTCTATGTGCTAATATTAAACTGCATCAAGAGTAGACTATTTTATTGACTGTGAGAAAATTCAGAGTGACCTTATTAAATTACATAGATGGTTTGTGTCTTTTTCCTCTTAACATCAATAAATGTAAGTTTGTTTCTTTCACTCGTGAAAACTGTTGACAGTTTGACAGTTCATTTGTACATGTCATAAAAAGAAATATTGATTTGGTAACTGTCCGTTGCGTATACCAATTGCCCACTTCAATCTTGAATAGCAACAAATATAACTAACAGCAATGATATGATTTATCATTGATGGCGTGCAACGCAAATTTCATTGCAATGGGTATACCTTTGGTTGTCATGTCATTACAAACTTTTAGATTTTATTT